TTCTTTGCGTTGGTCTTTGGGCAGTTGATGTATAACAAGACAACACCAAGTTACAGCAGTTTGATTAAAGGAATTGATGATGTCACAAATGTAGCATTGTCCATTGGGATTATGGTCGTTGTTGCTATCTATGCGTTCTGGCTAGTCTTTGGTATCATAAGAACATACTCGGAAACAAAGAAGTTGGGAAATGTGGCCGTACGAGTGAAGTACTATGGTGCGTTTACTATTTGTGTTGTTGTGTTGTATTTTGCACTGTTTGTTGCCTCAGACTTTATGGGATATCATAACAACGCCGACATCAGTCTTACTAGTCTTGCTTATATCAACTTTTATGTGATGATTCTCACTATTTTGTACTTGCCCATTGGATTCTCGGAGACATTTGGTGAGGAAGTACCAACAAACAAAACAGAAAGCGCGAGTGTTGTTGTTAATCCACAGAATAGTGTAATCAAACTTGACAAAGAAGAAGGCGAGGATGAACTCATCGTGTTTGATGATGAGGAGGAAAAACCAAGTCTTGTGTTCATCGACGAATAAATGAAAGTTGGTATTTTTTGTTGTCTTTTGGAGTTTAAGTTATAATTCATTTGTATAACAAAACGGTTACATTGAATAGAAAATGTCTTTTTGATTATTACTAGTTTATTATTGTAAAAATTGTTAAAGTTGTAATTAATAATAAAAAGTAGCAAATTGTCAAGTTATTTGAAAAAGAATTTAATTGATATTATTGAAAATATCGACCACTAAACAATATTGATTGGAGTTTTTATTTATAGAATTTTACAATAATTATTCCAAAATAAAATCAAATTATTGTAATTCCATAAAATTAGTCATTTGAAATAATACCATTATAATTATTTAATTGAATAATAACATTCCTTTGTAGTTGAATAATTATTATTCGTTGTTTGATATTGTCAATTGAAAATATGGACTTTTGGTCTAAAAAAAAAATAAAAACGATTTGAACACAACCCCGTGATTGTACGTATCTCTAAACTATTGAAAAAAATAAAAAAATTGATGTTTATTTAATTGAATAGAAATTGATTAAAAAAATAAATCTCTATTATAGTATATATTAGTTTAAAATACATTGGTTCAAACAAATCTATTTTGGTTTGATAATAATTGGGAATTTCCAAGTCCACGAATTCCCGTCAATTTACAGCAAACAGACGGTATATAAACATAAAAACTCAAAAGAAAATGTGTCCAACGAAACACAAAACGTCTGATTAAAAATAGAAAACACAAAAACGCTTTGTTCTTGCAATTGAAAGTGTTTGAACAAGAGTATTGTTGAGTGTTGTACTTAAGTGGCGAGAACTCAAAATGTTCTGTAGTAAGAACTTCAAAAGTCAATGTCCACTGCTACCAACCCCAATTCCCACTTATCGACTCAAAAAGATCCACTGCAGTGGTTGAATGAAACAGCGCACATGACTATCGATAACTACAAAACGCTAGAAGATGGTGTCATTTTGGTGAATGTTGTCAGTCAGTTAACAAAGCAAAAATTTGCGTTTAACTGTCAACCGAAGAATGTGTTTCAGCGCATTGAAAATTTTAGCGCACTTTTCACGCAAGTCCGCAATTTTTATAAACACGACTGCGCGGAAAACATCATGAGGATGGTCTCTGGAGACGAGAAGGAGATCGCTGATTTTGTTTCGACACTACACAGAGTCTCTTCGTTTGGTCCCGACAGAGAAAAGTTTGGTATTTATATAGCAAAACGACTGAAACTTGGAACCGCTATTGAAAGTAACTGCGAGTTAATGATTCAACTTGCGAAGCGTAGGCAAATATCAACACCGGAGAGAAGAGACTCCCCAGTGCGGTCTAGTTTGACAAATGCATTCAACCAAATCAATTCACCAAATAAAACGAACTCGCCTGATAAATTGAAAATCTCGTCGCCAGGGTATACAGTCAGCGAATTGAGTGATTCAGCAGATAAAGAAACACCACACAATGAAGAAAGTGAGGCAATTTTTGCTGTTGAAGAAGAGGAAACTATTGTCCACCACAGGAGGAAAAGCGACCCAAGAGAGATGAAGGTCCAATTTGATGATGGGTTTACAGACAAAAAGCGCTCAAGGGTTTCCGTATGTTTTGGTGCAACGAACGTCTCGAAACCAGTTATGTACTCATTGGAGGAAGAAAGTACTAACACGACAACAGAGGCTGAAACGAGTGAAGACTCTGACTGCGGGAGTGTCGCATCCTTTAGAGATGAAAAAGATGATTTTGATAAATTTGAGAACTTTTCGAAGTTTGCGAAAGACGAGAGTTCTGACGAAAAACAAGAGAAGAACGAAAAACAAGAGCGGTACAGCAAATACATTGACGTTGGGAGAAAAGCGAAAAGGGCGGAGGTCAACTTTTTATCATCATTTGAGAAAGAATTAATTGTAGTGTTAGACAAACAAAAGAGAGAACAAAAAGAAAGAGGAGACACCGGAGAAAAGCTCCGATTTGTGTTGAAGGAGTTGGTGGAGAACAAACAAAAGAACGAAACCATTAAGGTACACCACAGAAATGACAAACAAGTTCAATACAACGCGTTTTCTGCTCGTCTCCAGAAGAATGAGACACGAACATCACTCCACAACGATGGAATGCTCTCGTCTATCCCCGTTCGAAAAAACTTTCTTGGTCGTAAGGAGAGAACATTGAGAAGACAATCGTGTATGTTGAGGCAACAAGTCCTTGAACCCGTCACAAGCAAAACTGCTAACCCAGAGAGATGGAGAGGGAAAAATTATAATGACTGTGATATAGAACACGTCAAGAGCATCCAATGGTTCATCAAACATAGAAAGGCTGCAAAAGAAGGCGTGCGAGTCATCAAGAAAATGCGGGAGAGGAAGGCCGCAGTGTTTGAAATGATCAATAATGAAGAACATTTCATGGACTGTATGATAATTCTCAATGAGATGCTCGAGTTTTTTATAGAAAACAAGTGTGGTGCGGTGTTTGATTTAGCGAAAAAGTACCTTGAAAAAGTCACTTTGTGTACACAAAAATTGGAAGATAAAATAGCGAAAATAGTGAAAGTCGACAAGATGTATTATGGAGAGGGTATTCCACAGATTTACAACGAGGTGTTCGATAGTTTTAATGACTATGCGTTTTTCATCAATTTATATAAACGACTCATGAACGATTACGATGATCTGACGAACGCATTAAACACAAAAGAATGTATTCAACAATATGTCTTGAAATTGAAGGTCGAAAAGAAGATGGATTTTGATATGTTAGTGTCTATGCCATTCCAACACATAATGCGATACAAAATCCAGATCAACCGGATTATTGAAACGTTACAAAATAACGACAAACTTTTTATTCCAATGAATGAGGCACTGAGTAAGGTGAGTGATGTTATTTGCAATGTCAATGATCAGTACAAAAGCGTTGCTCAATCGACGGAACTTAACACAGTCATATCACATATGTCTGTTGGTCTAGAAAAGACATTGTTCGGCCGAACAGTGGTTGGGATGACACGAGCACAAATCACTAAATTGCGAGAGAAAGATCTTGTTAAGTCAAAAACAGGGAAGCGGTACAAAAAGTGCTTTGCACTTATCATCTCAGATGCAGTCATCTTCCTGACAAACAAATCAATTTGCGACAGCGACAAAGTAACACTAAGCGATTTGGCTGACAAGAAAAAACTCCAAGTGGAGACTATCGCGTACTTTGATAATGTTGTGTTAATGCCATTCAGCGTCAACGAGTTACACTTTAGTGTTCAAGGAGACTATTTGGTCAAATTTGTTGATATGAAAGAGATGGAATTTTTTATTCAACAGGTCGAAACGGCTCGGAGTGGGTTGTGGCTGAATTACAATTCGGTACTCAAATCTATCAAGGCAGATAAGTACCCCTTTTTCTCAATGGAACTCGAGGACGTCACGTTCCACTCGGACGCACTGGTTAACAGAGCAAATTTGGTGCATGCAGTGTTGTCTGGGATATACGTTTTTGTGTACAAGTCGACGTCTGATTTTGTGAATAAAAACAAGCCTTTGCACACACTCAACATCTTTGAAAATCCCGTCAGCTTCACATGCGACAGTGTTGGGATGACCGTTTTTGTATGCTTTGATATGCCAGACAACAAGTTGCAATTACAAATGCAATCACTCCAACTTGGAATGCTTTGGATCAACTGTATTCGAAACGAGATGCAGGCTTTCATTACAGCAAACAAAGCAATTCTTCCAATTGAACCGAAGAGTCCAAGAGGAATTAATGCATGGTACGTCTGGAAAATTCTTCCAAACATTAATGGAAACGATAAGTGCTTCATTTGCAAAAAATTCACTTCAGTTGTTGATATCGGTTCAGGGAAGTTTTACTGCATCGACTGCGCAAAGTTGATCAAAAGTTCGACACTTTTCGAAATGTCAAGAACAGCAATTGTACTCCTTGCGTCACTAACTAAAGACACAAGACCAATCCTTGCTGGGGGAAATGACGTGCTCAAGGCCCTTGCATAAGTACGAATGAATGATAAAATGTCATTAAAATGTTTTTGTAGTCTTTGTTGTGTTATTCATTTCATGGTATTGAAATTCTTAACTATTATATATAATAAAGCTATTAACAATTTGTGGTTTTTGTTTTAATTTAATTAACTAATAACATATAATTTCAGAATTTTTTGAAAAGAAGAGTCTTATTGCAAACCAAAATAATAGAAAACAAAACAGAAAAATGTTTCGACTTTTGACTTTTTGATTTTTTTGGGACGAAACTTATAGTTTAATGGTAAAGTAGTTTACTATCTGATTTTTTAATACTAAACTGTGAAATTAATGAAGGTTGCAGTCTTGACATTCCTGCTATGTGTTGCATTTGGTCAGAAACCAAATAACATCGTGCAGATCGATTGCAACGGAGTTGTCATTGAGGTGCCACAAGACAAAGTACATGAGTATCGAAATTGTACCATAATAAACAACACTGCTATAATCTTTATCTGCGAAGGGTTTGCAGTGAACGTCACTTGGCAACATAAAGATGAGTACAAAGACTGCAATGAAGTGAAGCCACTCCGCGGCCCATTGCCACCCAATTTAATAAAAGTAAATTTGTTCGAACACGATGTATGGAATCAGACAATCACAAAGAGACTATTTTTGGTGGTGCAATGATGTAAGACTGGGATAATGGAACAATACCGTTTGGGTACAACGAGTATAATTGTAATGGAACAATCATCTTCTCGTTGATAAACAACACCAATTTCAGTTCATGCAACAAAACAAATGTGTATCCAATGCAATGTTCAAGAGATATTTATTTTATACCAGAAGATATGCTCAGGAAGTACTCATGGTGTTTGCTGATCACTAACGAAACAATTAAAATCCAGTGCAAAGACGGGAATCACATCATCAATCCAATTGAAAGAAACAAAGATAAATACTTAAAATGTAACGACACGCGGTTGGATAACAACACAATACCAAAAGGTTCGACTGAATTTACATGTGATGGAGTGGTTAGGATTGTCAAAGAAACGGAAGCATATAAGTATCAGTGGTGCAACCAAACTGAAATGGTGTTGCTAAATTGCACGTCCAATATTGAGAAAGTACCGAAAGACGCTGCAAAACAATTTAAAAACTGCACAGTCGTGAATTATAACAAAACGGAAAACTTTGTTATTGTGTGCAATGGGACAAGCTTTGTTGTTGACACATCAAAGCTGAGTGAGTACAAATCGTGTAACACGACTGTCATCAACTTAAACGACACTCTCAAGAATATAAGTGCGGACAATGTGCAAATTGTTGAAATTCAAAGGATGGGAGGAGCGGTGTTGAACTGTAATGTCAAGAATGTGAAGATAAACTTCTCAGTGTTTAATGGAGAGGAACATGTTGCTTCCGGTTTCAGTCAAGTGTTAGTTGAGGATTCTATGTTTGGACTAACAAGTAAAAACTCGATATACGAGTCTGTTACATTGGAGCGGTCTATAATTGACTCAAGTGATATAAGTAACGCAACAATTCGGGGAGGTGCAACTTTAACACTCATGGTTGGCAGAAGTAGATTCAAGTCCATAGTATTTAACCAGCGAAATGGAAAAAGATTGATAAATAATAGTGTGAACGAAGACCAAGTTGACTCAAAATATGAGCCACTTCCATTTGACTCATTTACTCGAATAAGCCGTATTGCGATCACAGACTCTTCACTCGTTGAAGTGGTAGCAAACAACATTCATATGACTGACTCGGAGGTTAATAAAACGGATATCCAAAATTCCCAGATATATCAATCTAATTTTATTGACACCAAATTCAACTCGGTAAGCTTTACTGATAGTGCCATTTATCAGAGTTCGTTTATTCGCTGTAGTTTGGAGAATGTTGGATTTGTTAAAGTCAACTTTGTTGGCGTGTTATTCGAGAACGTTGTGATGAACTTGAAGATAGAGGGACAAATGAAGATAGTGAATTCGACACTGAATAATTGCACTATCAATGGGAAAATCTTCATGAAGACAGTTGGATCGTTTACGTTCAATAATTCTGTGTTGCAGCTCGACAACGAGAAGGTAACAAAAAACACGACAAACTATACCGCAGTGTATGTTGCTGTTATTATCATATTTGGTGCAGTTTTTATCGCAACTGTCGCGGCAATCACTACCTTCTTGATTACTATGAGGAGGGCGTCATCTCAGAATCAATAATTTATGTGTTAATTGGTGTGAAACTTTTTAATTATTCAATTATTTAATTATTTAATGAATTAAAATAGTGGTGTTATTTTAATTAGATTATTTTTAATATAATTTAAGAAATTGAAAAAAAGACCCATTGCAAAATAATTAAAATAACAAATGTCTAAGAGATGTAAAGTTACAATGGGATCTTGTGTGTTGTAAATACCTTGTGGCGAATAACAGGAGCACACCCACTCGTTTTGGATGCCAGAGTCTTTTCAATGGAGTCATAAGCAGACCCACGAGAGTCGATAAAACAAAGGCGTTGTGTGCAATAATCCAAAGTGTACTTCTTTTTGTTGAAGATACCCGAAGTGATGATAAAATTGTGCACCGCCTGATCATGTCCCCAGTGGCTAAGTTTGTTTTTGTTGAAATTGGAAACGAGCACTTTGAGATACTCATTGACTTTTTGAATTCCGCCAAGTATCACACCTGCATTGGATATTAGCGTCATGTTTTCAGCGTATTGCCGAGCAGTCTCAATTCCAAACGAGTCTGCCATCCATTTAAAGTTGTTTGGGTCCGAAAAGGTCCGACAGTAATTTTTGTACGAGTCACACTCGACAGCAAAAATGAGTTCATCAGTGCCGAATGTTGCAAATGCGTCTGAGAAAACAAAAACGTCACTGAAGTCCGACAAGAATACTCTGTCGTATTTGTTTGTGTTTTTGGAAAGAAACTCATCTTCGAGTATAAAACGAGCGTTGACGGGGTGCATGGAGTGTATGACTTTTGGGATGGGTGATGCAACAACAGTAATATCAAATCGGTTTAACGTTGATACAAAGTCGTCTGGAGCAGTTTCAGACAGAAAGATGACGACTTTGTCTGCGTTTGGAATTGAATAGTTGAGGAGCGTGAACGCACGAACCGCATCATCACGAACAGCAAACCAAGAAGATGGACTGTTGAAAGAAACGGCAGACAGCCACAAATCACGTTTTGAATTCTTTGGAAATTTGAACACTTCACCACAAATTCCATCATATTTAAACTTCGAAAGATCGAAAAGCGCGTCTTTATATGAGTTGTTTTGAATTTGCTCCGAGTTCGTTGGTGAAGTTGATTTGGTGGTATTGTAACGAAGATGTTGGTGGTTAAAAAGGAATTGAATTTGGACAATAAAAAATACGAGGACAAAAAAAACAAAGACGTAACAAATATACACCAACTTCATCTAATTTATTTTTTCTATTTATTTGATTCAATAAAGTTTTTAGTATCAGAATTAATAAAAGTAATTATAATAATTATTGTCAATAAATGTTATTCAAATGTTATTAAATACCAAACAAAAATATTTAATATTATTTTTATTATAGTCGTTAGTTAACTTTAGTACAGTTAGCTAATGGGGTAAAAGTTAATTAACTAAAATGTATTTATGTTACTTCTCAACTTTTGACCAATTTGTATTTTTGTATACTTTAATACTTTTTTAAATATTTTTATAACTTATTTACCTTTTTTTTAAATTATAATAAAAAAACATTTAAATACATCTTTTATATGTTTTTTTCATTTCAATATTTTTTAAATTAGAAACAAATAGTTTAAAAAAACCAATAAAGATTAATACAATAAATAATTCTATAAAATTTTTAATCCAATTATTTCATCAAAGTAATTTCTTTGTTATTTTTTCTGAGTTTATTAAACAATTTAACTTTTTAAACCATATTTTATAAATACTTTATAACAATGACTTTAAAAACATTTCTATTTACCAGTATTTTAAATTGTTTTTTAAACAATACTTTGAATTTACCAAACAGTACCAAAAACAAGACCTTTCTATTATTAAAAATTACCCGATTATTCAGCTTAACTTGTGGAATATCAAAATATAAATAATATCTTTTTTCATAAATAAAAGTATGATTTTGTAGTAAAATTCAAACTTTTTATTTTCAAATAATAAAAGGCTAAAAAAAATTCTAGTCAGTCTTTAAACGTTATCTGGTGGACAAAAAATAGCTTTTGTTTTGTTTAAACATCGGGCATTCGGTAAATTATGAAAAAACAAGAAACAATTGGTATGGATTTTGGGGACGTCTTCCAGAAATATTACAATTTTAATGGTCCAAAAGGTGCCAAATATAGTTAGAGACCAGATAACGTTAAAAGACAGACTGTAAATAAAGTTTATGGTCAATAATATGACTTTTTTTTCATAAAAAACAGTTAACAAAATTCGAAAAGAGTTTCAAGAAATAAATTTATAACATGTTTATTATAATGTTAATTACAAATACTGATAATTATTTCACATAAAACAAAAATGATTAATATTAATACTTTTCTTTACTTTTTGGTACTGAAATAAACAAATGTTGTTTTATTTCACCTTTATTTTCTTCATAAATTCTTACCTATGTACCAATTTGTACTGTGATACATGCTCTTCCACTGGGTGCTCCAGCTCTATCGAAAATTATATGTTGATAAATGGGCAGTGTAAATACAAGAGATCGGAGGGTTGCGAGTTTTTCAATTCGAAAAACATATGCACTGAGTGCACTGATGGCTTCAAAATGGATTTTTCAAGAAAAATGTGCGTGCCTGGTGTCGAACTTTGTGCTGATATTATTGTAGACAACAGTGATAATCTTTCTTGTTTGAGTTGTTACGAAGGGTATACATTAACATCTGCAACAACTTGTGAAAAGTGTAAATCATATAACCCAAGTTGTCTAGTCTCCGACTCAACATGCACGTTGTGCTCTGTTTGTGCTCCTGGTTATTATATTGATAACAACAAATGTATATCAATCGGTAACTGTCAATATCCACACACATCAACACCCAAAATATGCTCAAGTTGTATTGCTGGATATTATTTGGACGAAACGACTCGTACATGTAAAAAAGGAAATATCACAAATTGTATTGTTTACTACGACGCTATCAAGTGTACAACATGTGAGTCCACTTACTACTATACATCAGGCGAGTGTCAGCAGTATTTTCACTGTTTAAATGTTGGTAACACAGGATGTAATTTTTGTGAATATGGATATGGATTGAAAGATGGCCATTGTGTCAAGTGCAACTCAAATTGTATTGAGTGCTTCAACGACTCAGATGTATGCAAGACGTGTCAGCATGGGTATGGTGTAATCAATGGGAAATGTGTGAGATGTAATTCTGCTTGTAAATCTTGTGATTCCACTTCTTCAGAGATATGTACCGACTGTTATGAGAAGACTGGGTTGTCTTCAAACACTTGTGTTTCATGTGGAGCGAATTGTCTGACTTGTGAAAATGATAATCCAACAAAATGTACGGCATGTGAAATTGGGTATGTCCTGACCAATATAAATACATGTAAAAAGTGTGGAAATAATTGTACGGACTGCTCAGCTACCAACACTGAGATATGTTATGACTGCCAAGCGACGTATTTTTTGAATGGTAACTCACAATGTCAGACATGTCAAACTGTCTCTTGTGGAGCGTTAGAAGAGTTTCAATGTGGAAAGTGTTTAGAGAAGTGCACTTTTGATAACAGAAATGGAAATTGGTTGTGTAATACAAACGAAAATTGTTACATATATGACTCAGCAAGAGGAAAGTGTACTGTGTGTAATGATAATTATTATTTGGATAATAACTATCAATGTCAAAAATGTAATAAAAATTGTGTCAGTAGGTGCACTAATAACGCAGACCAATGCAATGAATTGGAAGATATTCGACTTGACGAGAATTGTTTGATTTTTGGGCAAGATCATGTGTGTTAAACTTAGTAACACAGAAGATGTATATTATTACATCCCTATTAATGGAATGTGTAATTACGTCGTTGACGATAGTTCAAATGAAAAATCCAATGATCCCCAAAGTAAAAGTGATAGCGTTAGTACTAATCCAAGTCCTAGTCCAATCAACAGAAGCTGTTTGACAACCATATTTTTGTTGGCAATTTTCATAATTTTATTGTTTTAATTGTGTGGTTTTGGTGTTGAAATTATAACGATAAACTAATCAGTGAAATCAATTCATTTTTTTGAGTAAAGCAGCCTTGTTGTGTTTTTTTCACCATTTCATCGAGTGCATCCAAATCATCATCTGTCAACGGTTGTTGTTGTGAAGGTGGTGGTTGGTTATAATAACGAGGTATCCTTAATTGTTCAAAATACTGTCGTTGTAGTTGTTTTTTATGTTGTTTCAATTCTTGTTGTTTTTGCATTTTTACCTTAAAAGGTACAAACGGATTGCTTAGCAATTTTAGAACCATTTCTGTGCTCTTTTTTTCGTTCTTCTCGTTTTTATCAATCATTTCCGACTTAGTTATTGGCGTTTTTAAATCATAAACGATTTCATATTTTTCTTTATCGGCACGCATCTTTCGTTCTTCCTCTTGTGCCATTCTCTTTTCAAATGATTCGTGTACTGTGTTGTCCTCTTCCTCGTTGTTGTCTAAATCAAAGTTTACTTCAAAAGGCGAATATAAAATTGGCGACTTATTCACACAAGATGGATGGTACTCTATCAGGTTTTTGTTTTCCCCTAACTGGAAAATGCAATTGTTTTTATCCAAATAAGAAAAGAAGATGCCCCAACACTCCTCTTTTATTAATGTGTTAATATTGCCAATTATGTACATCCCAATCTTTGCTTGACTCAAACAACAATTCAAGACTTTGTAATTCCCCAATTCTCCAACTCCAAGTGTCTTGTTTGAGCGTACAACAGAAACACCACAACTTCTTTTTTGCAAAGCGAAAAGTTGGACATATTCTCCACATCAAAATTGGGATTTTGTGATGAAATCAATTGTCTTTGGCAGAAAACATTGATACAACACCAATTGAACTGACTGGTACATTCTTATTTTGTAAAGTTGAAAGAAGCATTTTCACAATGTTAGCCTCTTCAGCGTTTTCAAAATTTGTTTCGAAATTCCGTTCGATTTCTCTGCCTTCGCAATGAATAAACATGAAAGGAACTTTCTTATTTTTGAAGATACGTGAAACACAAGTGACATCTAAATTTGTGTGTATTGGAGGCACTTGGACTTGAGAAGAGTAAAATATTTTGTTTGTGAAGTCGAACGCAAATGGTGTGATTTCTTTTTCAATGTTCAAAAGTGTTCGATTGATCCAAGGGCATTGTAACAAGCGATCGAATAGTGATGTATCGAATCCACATCGTTTTGCCTTTTCGGAGTAAACAACAGGTCCAGGAAATTGAGGGTTTCCAATTAACACAAAGCAGTTGGATTGAAGTATTGGATTCAAACTTGTTGTTTCCAAAATCGACTCAGCTGAAGTAAAATAAGTTGTATCAAAACGAAGGTTGTGAAAGGATTGTATTTCGTTTGTATCATTATATGTTGTGAGCACACATATCGGGTTACCCAATTGTTCAAATGAACACTCTGACAGGTAAGACTTCATTTCAGACACACCATACACTTTTTCCGAGCAATAAAAAGTCGAGAAGTATGGGTTGTGACCCATGGCTTGTTTGCGGCGTTGTAATTCTTCGATTTTTTGAATAGTTTCAAGGGAGTTTGGCTTTGAATATGAGTTGATTGTTTCAAGGATAGTTGATGCTATTTGACTCAAACTTTCCTTTTTTCCATAATCGTACATTTGTGACGCAGA